GGACCAGTTGAAATAAGAATTGTCATTTACATATCACTCTAAAACTACCTTATTAGTAACGACGCTGTCATCATCTGGGCTTGCGGCTTATCTAGAATACATCGTTTTTTTTGTCTTAAAAAAAAGCTCATATTTTGTTCTTTGAAGATATGTCCTTTCAATACATGGCGCTTAGGAAGCTGTACTGACGATTCCCACTCCTACCCGCATGCATAGTCCGGTCTGTGTTTACAACTAAGGGATGAAACACAGAGACTGCAGCGAAAAATATCACCCCACTACATCTAAAAGACAAAGGCAGTTTGCACCATAAAATATCACCTTACATAAGACGCATGTGTACAATCCTGTTGTTTTATTATTATAAATTAATTCCGTTTGCGGGCATTTCCGAGCAGCATCTGTTTTGATCATTTTTCTAGATTATTGGGAAAAGTTGGAATTTCAACGAAGCACTGTTTGCAGCGAACAAATTGTGAATTACCAACATCAACAGTGATTGTGAACGAGAAGAAAGCTACACGTACAATCATGCATTACAGGTTTCTGAGAATTGTCATTCACGGAGTTTTTGGGCCCAAATTCTAGTTCTGCCTTTTTTTACCTCTGCATACATTTATCTTACATGCATGTTTCCATGTTTTTCAAAAATTGTTTTTTTCAAAAATTTGCAAAAATTTCCAAAAATTTTCAAAAAAATTTCCGAAAGACAAGCATGAAATTTCCAAAACACTTCTCATATTGGGTGATAAACTGCGGCCGCTTGAGGGCTGAATAACCTTAGAAGAAGTGGACGATCCAAAAAAATCAAGATGTGGGACACACGGTCGAAGTCAGAAATAGCAAAACGAAGGGTGGGATAAGATTGTTAAAATAATTTGCAACCGTTGGTAGGCCGAACCGTAATCTCTGAAACGAACGAGCAGCCCGAAGCATGAAAAATGTGGAACGGCCACAGTCTGAAATTTTGAACCTAGGATAGGATTAATTTGATAAATTATGATGGAAAAGATAGTAGGGCTGTTCATTTGGCACAAATTGAATATTTGAAATTGAAGGTTCAACTCCTTATTGGGGTAGTTGAACTCACTACGAATCGTTTGTTCGTTTCGATATAAATTGGTAGTGGCGCATGATAAGAAGCAAAGTTCGTTAACATCTTGCTTTTCAACCTTCGTAAAGAGAACTGTAAACATACTTACCAGTAAAGTGATTACTGTTGGCAGTGTGCCAGTTTTCATATACATCTGTTAATACGAAAAGTTTTGGCTTTTTTTGTGATTTTTTTCTTTTTTTTTTATTTTGTTTTTATAATTGCTTCTTCGTTATTGTGGATTACTGCAGGGGGAAGTTGCAGGAGCCAAGTCTTGATGAGCTCCAAGCAACATTCCCGGATATCGGTGTTTTTTCGTGGATACATTTTGAAGGTATGTCCCAAGAAACGTATTTTTACCAGTTTTTTTTCGGTTTTTAAGAAAAATTTCATTTTCTTTTTTTCATTATATATCTTTTTTGTGCCGGTTTTTAAGGAAAATTTCATTTTTTCTTTTTGCACTTTTTTTTGCATTATGCATTTTTTCGTGCCGGTTCTTGCCGGTTTTCTCCAAGACTTACTCTTACATATCACTCACCGAAAGTATCTCTTCTTTTCTTCCGTTCGTTCTTTCTTTGCCAGATTTATCTCTAATTAGCGGGCATGCGTGTGATTTACATTTTTTTTTGTATTTCAAATTTGATAAGGAACATAAAAAAGCCACCTGAGCCCACTTATTTTTGAACGAAAAACGATAACACTTGAAATATTTGGTCCATGTCTAATTCATATTGCTTCTCCAGCTAAGCATCTGACAAAATTTTCCACCTGGTTTGACCAGCATATTGGCGGTCTTGACGTCCATTTCGTTAGCGGATTGTCAGCTGAACAGTTTTCCCAGCCGGACCGTCGGACTGGCCATTTACTTCAGAAATTACAGTTCGGCCTACGGTTAATTATCAGTTTAACCTACACGGGCGGCTCCATTTGATCCATCCACTTACGATTCGGCTTTCTAATGGCTGTTACTTATCATTTTAGTGTTTTGAGATGCCCTTCGTTTGTTGAATTTAGCCATTTCGTGCTGAACTGACACAGGGTATATTGTTCCTCTTCGGTTACAGTGAGATACTTTACCAAAACGAATAATTGTGGAAATATGACAAAAAAGCATACTGAGAAATGTGAATTTTGATTTTTTTTTTATTTAGGGCGAAACTTTGAAAACCTGTTATCAATGATACGTTTTGTTTACAATCAACGAAGAAACCAAAGACCGAAAATATCGCTAGAATGTGAGAAAGTCCGAGATTTCGAGACTCTCGAAGATGCCATACCGTTTGCGGATGTAATTTTTATATCCAAGGATTTTGCAAGGTTTATTTCCTATCGTTTGGGTTGCTATAAAACCTGTTTTGATCGGCTTTATTTTCACTGTCATGTTCTTTTTCGCCAATGATGCAGCTAAAAAATCCCCCATACATCTCTATTTTGGGCCTTTCACATCTACACAGTTTCCTACTGACGATATAAAGAGTATTATTGGGTAAGAGGAAGACAGTCTTTATCAGTTTTTGCTATCAGTTTCGGCGGAAAAATTGCTCACTGAACAGCTAGGTCATTTTTAAAGAACGACCGTTAAATGGAAGTTGTTTATTTCTTTTATGCAAAATTTACGATGATTTA